ACTGGATTTCTGCCACTTTTGTTTAATAGAGTCAACTTCACTCTATATTTGGCGGTTGGAAGCTCTGCATTGTGACAGTTCAACAAAAGGTTACTGTAAAGTGTCCTTCAGTGTGGAAGAAGACATAGAAGAGGGGATGGGGAGAGTGTTTTGATCTGCTGAGGTAATTTGGTCAGGCCAGTTGCTGATAAGAAAAAGAAAAAACGGAAGCACTTGGAAACCATGCAGAGAAAATGTGCCTTCTTTTTCTTTTATGCCACCAGCGCAGGCCTACAAGGGGGAAAAAACAAATGACTGTCATATGTCATTGTAGAAGAACAACAGAGAAAACTTTCCAGTGGTAGTTCCTTTTTTTCCCGGACCATATATTCAGATATTTCCCACCCACCATTGGCTACCATTTTGCTACCATGTGCTAGTTTGAATGTGTCCACTGCTTTCTAAATGGTGGCTGTTTACTCCATTCATGTCCTGCACTCAAATGACTCTTTGTATAATTCAGTTTATCATTTGGCTGAGTCCAACAATATGATATCAATATTTGTTTTCAGTCCAGTTGGCTCAATGGTCTGGCTTGCTTGTCTGATGCAACTCACTGTAACTGACTTCACTGTGCTTCCATATGGCGCTCAGGTGTGTTTGTGTGCATGACGTAATGAGATTTCACATTATGCCAAAACCATGTGTAGATATTAAGTAAGCAGTATGGTCTTCATTTCATTGTCCTTATCAGCAGTGTTTGAAACAATGCTCAGAGTAAAGTCTAGAGAAATGATCAGGGGATTTAATTTGCGTGTGAAGACATTTGTTAAAGCAGACATGAATCCATTTATACACTAACATTTGGGCATGTGAGGTAAAGAGGCAGCCTTGTCCACAGGGAGAAGGTAAGCGGCAGTGTTTTGTCAAGCAGCAAATTTGTTGAAATCTCAGGGTTAGTGCTGTGTGATTCAGCCGGGCCCTGAGGAGGAAAGTAAGAGGGCCAGTACAACCATGCAGATTGGATCTTACATCTCCAGCAGCTTGGATAAAAACTGCTCTGAAACTTAGTACGTTCACTTTCATTTTTGTCTTCTTTTCATGTGTCATCTCCATCGCTGACCCAAGGTGAGACCATGCTGATTGAATGAGTAAAGTCTTTTGATGATGCATTAACTCGAAATATTTCTGTTCAACTCTATTCTGTATAATTTCTCCCTGTATTAATTATTTATGTTGAATGGACTCTCATGGCCATTCAAGACTTCATATCAGGAAATAAATAAATTTCAAGCATATACGCTTAATAAACTGTTTTTATTTATAAATATTATATTATAAATTATAAATAAAATTATAAATATTATTATATATAAATATATATATATACTATATATATATATATATATTTTTTACTTTTATAAACTGTAAGCGTAAATACCCGCTTTCAAATATATATTCTCAGCATTTGTAGTTTTAAATGATGTTTTATAATCTGCTTAGAGCTAGTGGTAGGATGTTATAAAAAGACCATATAATTGCAGGGGACACATAGGTCTCCTGGATGTGTTAATAATCTTTTCAGATTTGATCACATCAGTGCTTGGATCGGTTTGTAACTTGCCTGACCTGAAGTAAAAACAAATTCAGAATTGTGCATCAATTTTGTCAAAACATCAGTAATTTAGACATCTCTAGTAGGGAAATGAGAGCAAGTTAAGTGTCTTGTTTTTGCTCAAGGAAACTTCCTGAGCCGCAGACAACACTCATGCAACTTTGCTTCTCAATGTCCTCTCTGGCGTAATTAGTTTTACACATGAAAGAGTTCAACTTAAACTAACAACTTCTGGATGTTATGTTGTGGAAACCAATGAGCACACTCACATCTGCATTATTTACGAGCCCATTACTTTGAAACCTTACATGTCTTAGCACTTCACAGCCGTGGAGATACATTTGCTGCTCTCTTCAACCACTTAAAGTAATGCTTTGGTTTTTTCTTCTTTAAAAATAGACACCAATCTATTTAAAACCAGTTTGTTTGGCATTTGTTTTTATGCTGCCTTTGTGGAGGAACATTTCAATTGCATTTGTAACCGTTCCCATTCATTCCTCACCCTCAGCTGAGATCACATTTGTAAATGTGCAAATACTCCTGTCTGCTGTATGCGTTGCAGTAAGATGGCAAGCACTTTTCTGTTTGCCCACAGACCCACACACCCCACACTCCCCCCTGAATCAAATGTCACATCTGCCTGTTTAAATGGCACTGACTTCACTTAACACAGAGACACTGCTGGGTCCCCCTTCTACTTGAATACAATTGATGCTTCGTCGAGAGGAAAAGCTCACTCTCACTCAAATGTGCTGACATGCTCACTTACGACAGAAGCGTCATATTTGAACTTTTTCCCCCTTTTCTGTTTTTCTTGACACTCAGACACGCAAGGCATTACTTGGCATTTTTCTCTGTGTTAAAGCTTAGGTCCACATGGTCTAAAGCAAGTCTTTCTCGGCAGCTGCTCAGGTCTCCATCAAAATCAATACAGAGAATTGGTCTAGTGAATCCTCAGGGAAAGTTACAATATGGGATTGTGTCTAGGTGTGTGTGTGTGTGTGTGTGTGTGTGTGTGTGTGTGTGTGTGTGTGTGTGTGTGTGTGTGTGTGTGCGTGCGTGCGTGCGTGCGTGCGTGCGTGCGTGCGTGCGTGCGTGCGTGCGTGTGTGTGTGTGTGTGTGTGTGTGCGTGTGTGCGTGTGTGCGTGTGTGTGTGTGTGTGCGTGCATGCGTGCGTGTGTGTATATGTGTCTCAGAAGACAAGGTATTGAGTCTCGGAGGCAGCAGGGAAGAGAGTAAGCTTACTGGATGCCATAATGGATTCTTGTTTACTCTCCACCTCCCCCTGACTCTCTGTCTCTCTCTCTCACACACACATTTTTTCTGTCTCCCCTCTCGCCCTGCAACTCTTGAGACAACCTCACCTCCTCAGACTCCAGTCTTAAGACCTTAAGCTGTCTAATCTCCTCCTCCCCTCACTCTCATCTCCTCCTCTGCTCCTGTCCCTGTGCTCCTCTCTCTGCTCCCTGTACTCCCTTCTCTTGTACCCTTCTTCTTGTTTGACCTCCTGCAGATGTCAAATGCAAAGCACCAGTAGACGGCTTTCTCCTGTGTTGAGAGAGGTTTACCCTCCTTAGAGGCTCCTTTAGTGTCTGGGTAACTCTAACCGGCAATTCAAGTACATCACAAGTGTTATATTTATTAGAAACTATCATTGGGACTCCCAGGACAAGGAGTGAAGTATTTTATTATGGGTCTATTTTATATTAAAGTTTAAAACCCTGAAATGTATGATTATATATGGCCCATTTAGTTTTTCATGAAACTGGGGGTCCTTTGCAGAAGATATACATGATTTGTCTGTGAAAAGTGTTTTTGTTGTTGTTGCAACAGCAATAATATAATATAAGAAACAAACACATGATGAATATTAAAGTTTATTTCATAGGTTTATCCAAAAATGACAAATAAGTTAAAATACGGTACATAAATCAAAAGCATCTTGTTGATACTTTGACCAGTTAAAGGCCCAAAAGAAAACTATTGGATTTGTGTCTCCATGTGCTATTTTGAAATTGATACACAGTAGTAAGTCTAAAGACTAAAGTTACCTCTTCATTTGACCTTGTATGGCTTTCACAGTTTTTCTCTTATAATTATATATTTATTTTAAGAAAATAATTAGAAAAGTTTTGTGGGCTGATATTGATTATGTGATCATGTTCACTTCAGAGCAGCCAATATCAACCTAATTATGTTTGCCCAAGAGGTTATGTATTCACATAACCTTTGTAAATTGTTCTGTCTGCCAGTATGATGTCTCAAAGAAATGTGGATTTCCCCACAGTCTTCTGGACAGAACACATTGGGCCAAATAATGAGATTTCTAATGCTGATATTGATTGGTTTTCTTTACCATCAAGTATGAGTAGAATTATAATTATAATATGATTCATACTAAAGCATTGAGATCCTTACGTTTCCAGGGGATATAATTAAATCCATGTTAAAATTCTAACTTCTTGAATACACAAAACTTGGAAAACTGTTCACTGCTCTGAGGTCTGTGTGCATAATGTCACACTAATTAAATAGGCTGCACGAGGAAGAGCATCTGTGTCGCCCATCGGGAATTTGAAACTGGCAACATTTAAGCTGAGGGGCTTCCATCGGACACGGTGCAATGGGCAGTGCAACAGCTTTCATGGATTTCACAGCGAGCATGTCCTCAGCGGCTGCAGTCGAATTTGTGGGTAATGCTCTGACTTTGCTCCAGGTTTTGCTTTCCAGAAAGTGTGCGTGTTGGTTTCAGTACGTCAAGACTTGCGGGAAGAGGGCTTAAGATATTGCTTCCCAGCAGCGAGTTCAGATATCTTAATGTGGCGCCTGAAGTTCATGTGGTGAAGTGTAAAGGGTGGATGGTCCATTTGTGGGCAGTAAATGTAGAGTTTCTCTCTGCGGGAGGTGTTGTAAATGTGTCATTATCGTTCTTTGTCTCTTCCGCTGCTCATTCTCCCACTTGTGCTTCTCCCTATTTTTCATTCTCCTCCTAAAACACGCCCAAAGGATGCAATCCAATCATTAAAAGGCTTGAGTACCAATTAGCTTCCCTCGAGTAATGTCTTGATGAACACACCAATGCCCTTTCTGTTCACATGCTGGACATCAAGCATTCCTCTCATGTTCTGACACTGGGTATCTATGGGTTGGTGGCAGTGCTAAATAATGAGAAGGTGGCATCATGCTGTCATTAAATTGTACACTGACTCCCTCTTAAACACCATCACATGGGCCGAACACACAGTTCCTTTTGAGGTCTGCGTTCAACGCCATTGCTCCTGCAATCCTGACCCGTTTTGCCATGTAGCCCTGAGGACCCAGCTCCAGATGTCTGTCTCTGTTGGACTCCATAGTAACCAGCCGTCGTAGCTGGCAACAAACATGGCCCGCGCTAATCACTGACAACATGGAAGCAGTGGGGAAGCAAGACTGCCAGCAGGGTGGGCTGAAAGGTCCATGAACTATCTGAGCCTTGTCTGCAGGCCCGACTATTTGGTTAACATGAGAGGAGCCATGTTTGAGTTCTGGTATAATTAAGAAATGTTGCCATGATGGTGTTGGTAATGTTACCAAATCGTTTTTTCTTACTGAGAGGGTCTTCATTTTGACTTTAGCTTTTTACCCGTGCTGTGAAACCAACAGTACAACCAAAGTGAGCTTTACACACTCAAGTTAAACATCAAAAAGAAAGAAAAACAAATAAATGTAGCTCATTGACACTTTTGAAAGCTTTCTGCGTTGCAACAGCTCTGCTAATGGACATTGCTTTATTAGGTTATTTGTCACTTCACACACTCCTCTGTAGAGCTTTTTGAGAGCTCAGTTTTAAAAAACATTTTGTACTGTCTGACAGCATGTTGAACAGTGTCTTTGAGAGTGCAATCCTCTTACATCTGAAGATATGCGAACCCTTTTTTTTCTGCCACTTTGTGGGTTACATTACTCGTGATTTCCACAAAAAGAGTTGTCAAACCTGTCTTTCTGTTGAGTTGTGATTGCATCTCTTCATCGGAGATGCAGTATTATATTATTTGTTGCTTTATTTATCATGGCAAGCATGAAAGAGTAATTGGAACTGTTATATTCTTATTGTTTTGTAATGCCTCAATCATTTCCGTTTACGCTAAATAAATACTGTGTTTTGTTATGGCCAATCACTTGCATGTCATGTCTTTCAACTCTCTGATTGTTAGACTGTTCCTCAAAAACAAGCAATTAAAAATGAAATGAAAGCCCTTAAATGCTGCCCAAATGTACAACTGTGAACACTTGATGCATTTAATAGTTGCACTTGTAAAACAGCAACACCTGTGCACAGATAGAAACATGTGTGAATACCTTATTGTTACCTAATTTGCTAATGGGGTTTAGGAAGGTTGATTTATTCAGCACTGACACCATTCAGCCTGAAATATGTTTCTTTTTTATACCCCACAGGTAATTTATGAGGCATATTTTGTTTTCTCCTGCACTCCTCTGCAAGGAGTTCAAAGGTCACGGTGAGCTACAGAGCAGCACCCCGGGAGCTGGTACTGACTCGAGGGTTTGCACAAGCACCGTTTATCAGGATGGATGCTTGCCAGAACATGAGCTTTGATTTTGATCCTCTTCAACCTGCATGATGCACACACTCACAGCTATTTTTCACTGAAGTGTTTCTCAGTGGGTTTGATGCTAAAATAACATGCCAGCCACATAATGCCAAAACACGTCAAACCAATCCCGATTAACTCTATTTAGGTTGGGTGAAAGGAGCCCCTGAACCAGGGGCCCGACCCTTATCCTCTAGTTTAAGTGCAAACACTATCCAGAGAGGTTGTAAACTGAGATGATAACCAATAGTTGCTGTGATAGATGTTAAAACAGCAAGAAGCGAACACACACATACACACACACTATGAGGCAGCTCGAGGCCTTGCTGTGGTTTCGGCATTGGCTCTTGTGATGTGTAACAGTATGCAGGCTTGCTAGGTGGGAGGAAAGCAATGTGTTCTTATATACCTCAGTAAGGCTGTAATCCATGACTCACACAGTGTGTGCACGCATGCGTCGTGAGATAAGGAATAAAGTGGTGGTTTGTGTTAAGGTAAATTAATCTCTTAATTGTGTTTCTGAACGCTCACACAATATGTGTTGCCATTACAACAGTAATTAAAAGGGAAACACAGCTATTATTTAATGGTGTCATGTTGTTTATAGCACAGTCATTTTTCGAAAAACATTATCTTGATTAGGGTCACCCGACTTTGCAGAAAGATATATTCTGCTCTAAATATCCTTTATATATTATTAATGTACTGATGTACAATGTTTATATGCAAGATAGACGTCATTTTTCAAGAACTTATTTCATACAACCTTCCAGCAACTTTGTCAACTTGTGCTCGTGCATGCAGGCACTGTTTTGAAAATAAACTTCTGTCCAAACAGAAACAGTCTTTCCCTTACCATTGTCTTGGAGGGGCGCTGCGTCCCATCAACGGAGTC